AAGGAGACAGGGGGAAAAGGATGGGAGTTACCTGGTCCAGTCGGACAGTATGCACTTTGCTGCTTTCTCATGGTCTGGGAGCCCTCCCTTCTTCAGCTTACCGAGCCTACGGGCCAGGAGAGCCAGGAATTCCTGTGGGTCTCTGAACGCGGGGATGTTATAATGCTGCATAACCTGGGAGGGGGGGGCGCAGGTAGGGACAAGGTTGGTGGGGGGTGGGGAGGGGAAGAGAGAAAGAGTGGGGGGTTGGGAAAAGGGAGCAAGAAATGGGGAAACAGAGAAAGAGAGAGAGGACACAGATTAAACAGATGAATGGAGCTGGATGCTGAGCGAAAGAGCCAGCGAGTTGGGTACAAGCAGGAGTGGTCTCAGGCCAGACTGCGGGAATACGGCAAGATTACACTCCCTCGGCGCTGACCCTCCGACAGCGCCCGCTCCCCTCGGCGCTGACCCTCCGACATCGCCCGCTCCCCTCGGTGCTGACCTGTTGCTTGTTACACCGTTTCAAGATGGCTGCAACAGGCTCCACAGGATCCACTAGTCGCTCGATCTTGACACAATTCCGCAGGATGACGGCAACATCCGAGCTGGAGGTGGCCATGACAATCCCTGGGCAGTCCAGCAGCTTTATGTGCTTATCGAGGTGTATTTCCTGTAAGCACCTGTTGGGGGCAGCATGGGGTTAGATACACAATAAAGCTCCCTCTACACTGTCCGCCCCCCCAATCAAACACTCCCAGGGACAGGGGGTTAGATACAGAGTAAAGCTCCCTCTACACTGTCCGCCCCCCCAATCAAACACTCCCAGGGACAGGGAGAGCACAGGGTTAGATACAGGGTAAAGCTGTACCTGAAGGGGGTGTGGGGGAGCGGTCGGTGGGACTTACTTGGTGACTCCGGGTGTAGCACCAACACTGCAGGCCCGGGCTCTCTTCAGGCTGTTGATCAGGCTGCTCTTCCCAACATTCGGCAATCCTGGGAGTCGTTTGACACAGACAGGCGCACAGATGCACGGCACAGAGACAGGCAGAGACAAAGACACACAGGCAGACACAAGACACAGAGACAGAGAGACAGGCACACAAAGACAGAGAGTGAGAGAGAGATGGGCGTACAGAAACAGGTGCATAGAGAGAGAAAGAGAGACAGGCACACAGAGAGAGAGGCACAGAGAGAGAGAGAGAGAGAGAGACAGGCGCGCACAGAGAGAGAGAGACAGGCGCGCACAGAGAGAGAGAGACAG